CGGGTACAATCACTTCTATCTGAACCACTTCTCTTGACCGCTTCCATCACTGCAACACCTGTTGACCTGATAACTGCTCTCATATCTGACAAACTGAGGGGCGTCCAAAACGTGTGTGTGGGCGTGTCTTAAAAGCTTCTACCTTCTCTGGTCCAAACAAATCCAGAGCATTCAGGAGAATCTAAAGTTAGAAGGAGGACATACTGGCTGCTGCATTGTTGTCACTGTGCTCATGTGACTGAGATTATTGTACAACAAGCTGTGTCAGTTTGAGAATGAGCTTTAACATTAAATCAGAGGATCCATTAATAGGAAACTTTTGTAAGAACATTTAAACCAAATGTTGGAATGAGTCTCACATATGTCTTATTGGAGCCGACAGTAAAAAGAGTTAGCTGCCTCCAAACACGCTCATGTTTGGTATGCTAACACCTCAGGTAACACCTGTGGGCTCTTCTGGTGTTCTGTAGCGGTGAACAGGAGCTGCGATTAGAGGGGAATGAGCAGGCATTAGACGCAGGCCTCTCATTATGACTCATAACTTTATGACAGATGAATTACTGCCTGCTTTTATATGTTGCAAGAGAAACACCCAGAGCACTTCTGTAAATCCTCTGTTCCTCGCTCCCCTTTTTTTTTGTTTTTAAACAGAAGCATCGATTCATTTCCCCTCTGCTGCAACCAACAGACGCACTCGGCTTTCCATTCTGTCAGAAGTGCCATGGCAACGGAGGTTTGTGTCTCCGTCATGAGGGAGTGTGTTCACATGGTTGACCCCTGAACACGGATCATTCATGTTGCTTCACACCGTCAGGACGCTCCACTCCCCAAACTCCACCACATATAATCTGAACAGAGCACATTCATTCAGAGGGATTTCCATTATTGAGTAATATCAGCACTTTTGGAGTTACTGCAGAAGATTTCTTCAACTGACAACCAGCTGTGATGTCTGACCATCATCCTTAAAGTTGTTGTTTTGTCTCTGACAGGCTCAGATTCTTAGGGCGCACTCACACTAGTTAAAGTTACCCCATACCGTACTGAATTCACACCGCTCCAGGACTAACCGGGCCTGAGCCTGGTTACCTCTTGTACATAACGTCGTAATACAACACATGCATGACTTTATGTTATTATGAAGCGCTCTCAGTTTACAAGACAGGGGGACTCGTAAATAAAAAAGGGAGGCGCAGTCGAGTCCCTTTCAAAACATCAGAGAACAAATCAAAGAATATGTCAGCTACTTTACTGACTTTACTTATTTTGAGTCATGTTAGTCAGATACAGACAGAACACTCCAGGGTTTCTCCAGAATTTCATTTCATTTATTTATTTAAAGGACAGTGCACATTAATCTACATTTCTGTAAATGTGCCGGTGTTGGCCAGCAGGCTAATTTTCAACTGTAGTCCTTTGGCAAGATGTTAAGCTAGGCACAGGGTGGCACACACAGCAACAGATATCAACAGTATAACATGAAGAATGAAGGCTGTCCACGTTATGTATCTGTGCTTGTGCTCGTTCATTAAACTGTACCGAACTGAAGCACACCTCTACCAAGCGAGCCAGGGCCGAGGAAGTGTACAAGGCTGAAGTACGGAAAGGAGCATGCACACTGGTCAAAGGAGCTGGACTCTAACATGCTTGGGCACGGTACGGATTGCTTTGTGTGAGTGTTCCCTAACTGGACTCTTCTCCTCTGTCGCCCCCCGGTGGTGGAACAAACTTCCCACCTCCATTCGCTCTGCAGAGTCCCTCTGCTCCTTTAAGAAAAAGCTAAAGACCCAGCTCTTGATGAACACCGACGACCTTCATGATGATGATAATGATGATGATGATATGGATGAATATGATGCTGATGAGAACTCTCTAGAACAGCTGTCGATGTTGTGCTTGCCTCTGGTCACTTCCTGTAACCCCTCTGGTCACTTCCTGTAACCCCTCTGGTCACTTCCTGTAACCCCTCTGGTCACTTCCTGTCAGCACCTGTGTGTCCGATCAGAATTAAAGCTGTTTGTTTACACTCCCTGACGTTGTTTCCTCCTCTCTCTCTCTCTCCTTGCTTGTGTTGTTCTTACTCTCTGATGTTCGTCACTTTGGATAAAATTGCTGATACATGAATTGTAGTCTCAGCTGAGTCACCAAGAACTTTGTTTGCAAATAACCTGGGAAGAAGTTTTCTATTTTTTTTTCCAATAAAAATTTACGATGAGAAGAATAACTGAAATATTCCAAAAGAGCCACAGCTGGGATAATTAGAGTTAAAAGACGCATAATTATGACACAAGGGATGAATTAAAAAAAACAAGATCTGTTTTCGGTTAGCTGTGAGGACGAGCTGTAAAGACTCGTTGATTTATGAGCTGCTGATTATTCGAAGAGGGAGAAAATCCCATCAGAACAAGAAGAAGACGTTGTTTTAAAAAAGCTGTCCACAGATGTAGAGCACATGGTTGTGTCTGGGTCAGTTGGAAGGAGTTTCTGGAATAACATCAGCAGCTGAAGGTGAGAAATGACTCCGGTTTCACACTCGATTCATCACTTCCTCCACTCAGGGAGGGAATAAAAACATGTTTTTCTCCGGAGCTTTAAAACATCAGAGGTGGATTAAAGAGGACGAGGTGACGTTGAAATCTCCTGCACAGGCAGCGGCTGACGTCATGAGACCATCAACACCTCGGAAAGATGACTTAAGACGTCAACGCTTCGCTCACGTTTTAGAGATAATCCTGCACAGTCAAAACATCGGACCACATTCTTTAATTAACCGTCTGACCCGAGGGGAAACGTGCATAAACAAACTTCATCTGTGTGACACTGATACTCTGAGAAGCTTCACTCACAGAGATGTCCTTCTGAACCGTCTCATACGCCAGTGTGACGGTGGAGCCGCGGTCGGGTGGAGACGGCGTCAGGCTGAAGCTGTACGTGGTCGAGGTTTCTGTCTCTGTCAGAGCCTTCTCTAGGTCCTGGATGTAGCGCTCCCTCTGCATCTCCAGCTCCTCCGCCTCCTCGCACACGGCCGCCTCACTTACTGCAGAGAGAATCAGAAAGTCTGAATGAAGGGGCGCTGGTGGTGCAGTGGTTAGTGCACGCGCCCCATGTACGGAGACTGTAGTCTACCAAGCAGGCGGCCCAGGTTCAAATCCAGCCTGTGGCTCCTTTCCCGCTTGTCATCCCACACTCTCTCTCTCTTATTTCTGACTCTATCTACTGTCCTGGCTCTCAATTAAAAGGCCAAAAAAAATGATTAAAAAAGAAAGTCTGAATGAAAACATTTTAAAACACACGAGCCGCTCTCTGGAGAAAGGCTTTGTCTCCCCCCATTTGGGTCAAAAACAAAGAGCACAACGTCCTGCTTTGTATTAAATAAAATATTAAGAGCACACTGAGCAGTGAAACAGCGTGTTAAAAATGTTTAAATCTACTAAAATGAAAGAGAAATACAACGAAGTATACATGTTTTGACTGACAACCTTCTAATTATTGTGCAACTGGAATGTCCACCCCATCATGCCCCCACTCCTTTTGTAAGTCTGTGTGTGTCTCTTTATCTCTTGTCCTGTCTATTGTCTGTATGCTTGTCTGTATTCTTATGCTTCCTCTGGACTTTTATTATTATTTTATTTTTCATTAGTTTCTTTTGTTTTACAGTTCGCATGTGGGGTTTTGGTACGTTCTTTCCCACACCACTAATGTTCACAGTCATTTCTGTATCTACTGTGGATGTTTTTGTTCAAATGTGCTGTTGTGCCATCTAATTGCAATGTGAACATGCAGCCAAGAAAAATCAATAAAAATAATTTTGAAAGAGAAATACAACGAAGAGTACAGGTTTGTAACATCACCTGAGAAAATCCGACTGTTGAAGGTCAAACTCATAAATCTTCCACGGAGAGGAACTGTCCGAGCAGCTATACAAAGGTCAACAACCGTACACCCTTAAATCTTTCCAGGTGAGGAGAAAGGCGTGTGTGTGTGTGTGTGTGTGTGTGTGTGTGTGTGTGTGTGTGTGTGTGTGTGTGTGTGTGTGTGTGTGTGTGTGTTGTCAGACAGGTGAGGTGGTCCAGGTACCAGGTGAACATAAATCTGTCGTGTTAAATGACGTTGAAGAGTTGTGAGGTCATGCTGGGTGGCATTTTTTTTACCGTCTCCTCTCCAGGCATCCTGTCCGTCAGTCAGCAGCAACTGGAAGCCTGAACCTAAGCCCCGCCCCCTCCAGTTCACGCGCAGGAAGTAGGAGGAGTCAGGCTCCGAGGGGATGGAGACTTCCCGCACCGACACGTGCATTCCTGCAGATAAACACACAACACAACATGGAGTCAGAGATCTGCTCTGAGATCATTTATACACTTATTCTGATAAATAGAGATGCTAGTGGTGTAGTCAGGACCACGCTAACCGAGACCAGGACATACCCGAGACCAGAGCGCTCAGAGACTAGACCAAGACATTTAGGGGTCAAGACCAAGACCATAAATATCTCTGAAAAATCTTCATCTTGTGTGTCACAACAACAACGGGAAGGTTGCGGCCGTAACCGGGGGATAAAAATTAAACTACGTTTGGGGCGCTGGTGGCTCAGTGGTTAGTGTGCGTGTCCCATGTATGGAGGCTTTGGTCTTCCAAGCGGGCGGCCCAGGTTCCAATCCAACCTGTGGCTCCTTTCCCGCATGTCATTCCTCTCTCTCTCTCTCTCTCCCTGATTTCCAGCTCTATCCACTGGCCTATCTCTACAATAAAGTCACAAAAGCCCAAAAATAAATCTTAAAAAAAAAAAAAAAAAAAATTAAACTACAATTAATTGAAGTTATTAGTTCTTTAAGAAAGAGGCGTTTTCCTTCCAATCTCAGTAATGACGAGGAAAAATAGCCGCTCAGTGGTGGTCTTGACCGGTCTTGAATTAAAATCCGGAGTCCGTCCAGTCTGAGACCGAGAACTTCAAAAAGTGGTCTTGAGATAAGTCTTGAGGCCAAGACTGATTACCAGTACTACAACACCAATAAGAGGTATGAGAGGTACTGATTTACCTTTTGTCACTTATTCTATCGACCTGGTTTTACAGGATTCATAAACCCAAACTCAAACTCTGTATTCGGCTCTAGTGTCTCTCAATTTATCTCCAAAACTTGGAAAGCCTCGGTTCTCATTTATATTCCACAATAACTACAGTCTTGTCTGAATTAAAAGCAGGGTTGGTGATTTTCGAAAACTAGCAAGATTTTGAAAGTAGCGTTCCCCCTGTGCTCCCGCCAAAGCCACGCCCCTCACTTGCATGCACAAGCGGCGCCGTTGGTCCAGAAGCGGCTCATCGCTTTGAGTGTGGGCTCATGCTAGCAAGAGGTAGAGAACGAGCAGGGAGACAGGGAGGCGCAATTTTTTTTAAATGTAAAGAGAATCGGTCCCAGCACTGAACCTTGTGGCACTCCATGATTAAGAAGATGCAGACGATCATCTTAAGAGTATCTGAGGTCTAAAGAGTGAGGGTAAGATATTTCCAGCTTTAAGAATCTGCCTAATGAGATATTAAATAGATTTGTATAATTTTTTACGTAAATTTGAAGTTATTCAGAAAGTCGAGCTCACGCCGTTGATTTAAAATAAAACAGAGAAATCTTAACACAGCAGCTCGTCATCACTTTGAGCCGGTCGAGGTGACTGACCTGTCAGTCAGAGGAGGAGGAGGAGGTTTCTCAGACCTGGTGGAGATCTGACTAAACACCTGCAGCTGTTCTTGCATCATTTTCCTGGCATGTGTCACAGCCTGATGTTCATGTGCCAGGAAACACTCCACCTCTGCTCAGCGAGGCCTCGAACGCTCCTGAAAACAGCCGCCAACAGAAGGAGGTTTCACGGCTATTTTAACACGCTGTGGATTATCTGTCAGCAGCCCGTGCAGGGGGCTACACTATTGTTTCATAAAGAGAATTGAAGACATATTTGAGGTCTGACGGGGGGGGGGGGGTAGATCTGTAAACCATCAGAGACCTCATAAGGCCTGGCCTGGAGAAACCTTAAAACCCCCCCAGGAGACAAAACACACAAGGCCTGCCTGTTGTTAGCCGCTTCACAGCTGGACCAGGACCCAGAGAGATGTAGCATTCAATTATAAAAACCCCTTCAAATAATCTGATACACTGATTACAGCTCCCCCAAACAGTAGTTACATAATCACCATTTAGAAACTGCGCACAGAGCTGCAGTAAGACGGACACGCTGTGAATACAAGGAGTCTTTTGATTCCCTCTTCACACCAACAACACTAAAGAAAAGGTGCATTATTAACGACGATGCATGATGCTAACGTAAACATGCCTCGTTACAGGACTAGCTACTTAAACACTCTGCTCATACCTGCTAATCGTCATTATTAATCATTTCCTACAAAGTGATCATGGCAGCAGCCCACAGTTTTTTTTGGTATTCAAAACACCTTTGCAACATGTCTCCTTTTTTCTCGTCCTGTGTGCATCATTTAGCTTGTTGTACGTGTCGGCTAGATTAACTCTCACAGCTGAGTCAGATATTTACAAGAGATGCATCGATTGGGAGAATCAGGCCAGATACAGATGTACGAAATAACAATTTAGCCGATTGCCAATGTCAATGTCAGACTCCCACAATGCAACATTTTCTCTCATGTTTGACGAAACAAGTCAGAGTTTGTCCAACAGGTGACTTCATCTCTTGATTGATTTGGCACAGAAGATAAACATCGCCTACTGACATCAGCTCATGCCACATTATTTGCTGATGTGACGATGTCTGTCAACAGTGCCGATATTAGCTGATGCCGAACAGTTACGGTAAATGGGTAACGATAGCGTTTTTCTAGTCTTCCAACTACGCAAAGCGCTTTTACACTGCATGTCACACCAACCAATTCCCACCCTTTCACACACTGATGGTAGTGATCGCTGTGTAGTATCATCCATCAGAAGTAACTAATCCATTCATACACCACCACTGAAGCAGCAGGAGCAATTCAGGGTTAAGTGTCTTGCCCAAGGACACATAGGACATGTTGCCCAGCTGGGGATTGAACCCTCGACCTTCCGGTTGAGAGGCCAGTTGCATCGCTGCATCTCTCTCACTTAACTTGCTTAACTTTCTTATCATGCTAAAGTTTTGTGACGTCTGGAAAACAACATAAATAATATTTCACATTTTAGAATTTGCATCTTTTGCAGCCTTGATTTCAGAGGACGATGATTCTATTTAATCACAAAGAACAACCTAAAAATAATAACCGTAAGGTATTCATGATGTATTCACTTCACTGAAATATGCACAGAGCTCACGGTGGAATGAGAGTTATGTTATTGTAAAACACGGGTTTTCCTTTACTGCCGTTTGGTCGTGTAATGACCAAAGTGAAAATGACGAGTCCACCTCCATGCAAACGTGTCATCACAGCTCTGTAAGCACAGTAATGCACTAATACACAACCTCTCATTATGTGTAAGTACAGGCTGAGCACAGTACAGCAGAGAAACTCAAACCTCAGTTAGCCGATGCTAATGACCGACCATGGCGGCACAACAGCAGCTCCATCCTTAACAACATCCTTTAACGCCACCTGCTTCAACGCTAAATACTGTATACGCACGGACGGAGCAACTCCTCATTTAAGAACGAGATGCTGCAAAGAGTCATCTCCAGCATTTCAAGACTCTGCACCTCAGAGAGAACTTCAAACATAATTGGGTGGAGTTTAAATTCAACAAATAAAGTGTAGAGAGAGATGTTATGTGATTGGCTAATTTAATTTTTAACTTTTGATCCAGTTTTGGGGAGGAGAGCATTTGGGATAACCTGCAGCAAAGGGTAAGAACGGATTTGAATGAGACAGTAGATATTACTGTCAACCGTCTGTCCCTGCAGGGGGCGCTGGAGTCCCATCGATGGCGTCCCCCGTCTGTTCCTGCAGGGGGCGCTGGAGTCCCATCGATGGCGTCCCCCGTCTGTCCCTGCAGGGGGCGCTGGAGTCCCATCGATGGCGGTCTCCATGCTGGAAATGCTGTCTCAGTCTAACTTTCAGTCAACCTAACGACAGGCTGAGAGCTGGAGCTGAGGCGGGTTTTAAACCTCCTGACAAACCGTTACACCGCGCCCAGAGGAGAGAGTGAGAGAGTGAAAGAAAGAGTGAAAGAGTGAGAGAGTGAAAGAAAGAGTGAGAGAGTGGGAGTTAAAGAGTGAGAGAGTTAAAGAGTGAGAGAGTTAAAGAGTTAGAGAGTTAAAGAGTGAGAGAGTTAAAGAGTGAAAGAGTTAAAGAGAGAGAGTGAAAGAAAGAGTGAGAGAGTTAAAGAGTTAAAGAAAGAGTGAGAGAGTTAAAGAGTGAGAGAGTGAAAGAGTTAAAGAGTGAGAGAGTGAAAGAGTGAGAGAGTTAACGAGTGAGAGAGTTAAAGAGTGAGAGAGTTAACGAGTGAAGAGTGAGAGAGTTAAAGAGTGAGAGAGTTAAAGAGTGAGAGAGTTAACGAGTGAGAGAGTTAAAGAGTGAAAGAGTGAGAGAGTTAAAGAGTGAGAGAGTTAAAGAGAGAGAGAGTGAAAGAAAGAGTGAGAGAGTTAAAGAGTGAAAGAGTGAGAGAGTTAAAGAGTGAGAGAGTGAAAGAGTTAAAGAGTGAGAGTTAAAGAGTGAGAGAGTGAAAGAGTGAGAGAGTGAAAGAGTGAAAGAGTGAGAGAGTTAAAGAGTGAGAGAGTGAAAGAGTGAGAGAGTGAAAGAGTGAGAGAGTGAAAGAGTGAGAGAGTTAAAGAGTGAGAGAGTGAGAGAGTTAAAGAGTGAGAGAGTTAAAGAGTGAGAGAGTTAAAGAGAGAGAGAGTGAGAGAGTTAAAGAGTGAGAGAGTTAAAGAGTGAGAGTTAAAGAGTGAAAGAGTGAGAGAGTTAAAGAGTGAGAGAGTTAAAGAGTGAGAGAGTTAAAGAGTGAGAGAGTGAAAGAGTTAAAGAGTGAGAGAGTTAAAGAGTGAGAGAGTTAAAGAGTGAGAGAGTTAAAGAGTGAGAGAGTGAAAGAGTGAGAGAGTTAAAGAGTGAGAGAGTTAAAGAGTGAGAGAGTTAAAGAGTGAGAGAGTGAAAGAGTGAGAGAGTTAGAGTGAGAGAGTGAAAGAGTTAAAGAGTGAGAGAGTTAAAGAGTGAGAGAGTTAAAGAGTGAGAGAGTTAAAGAGTGAGAGAGTTAAAGAGTGAGAGAGTGAAAGAGTTAAAGAGTGAGAGAGTTAAAGAGTGAGAGAGTTAAAGAGTGAGAGAGTTAAAGAGTTAAAGAGTGAGAGAGTTAAAGAGTGAGAGAGTTAAAGAGTGAGAGAGTTAAAGAGTGAGAGTTAAAGAGTGAGAGAGTGAAAGAGTTAAAGAGTGAGAGAGTTAAAGAGTGAGAGAGTTAAAGAGTGAGAGAGTTAAAGAGTGAGAGAGTTAAAGAGTGAGAGAGTTAAAGAGTGAGAGAGTGAAAGAGTGAGAGTGAAAGAGTGAGAGTGAAAGAGTGAGAGAGTTAAAGAGTGAGAGAGTGAAAGAGTTAAAGAGTGAGAGAGTTAAAGAGTGAGAGAGTTAAAGAGTGAGAGAGTTAAAGAGTGAGAGAGTTAAAGAGTGAGAGTTAAAGAGTGAGAGAGTGAGAGAGTTCAGACACAGTCAGAGAGAAACTAACATTTATAGAGAAGAGACGAATTAATAATCAATGTACAAAAGAAATACCCCAAGATTAATCCATATCCTCATTATTAAACGCGTTTGGTTGGACTACAAAAACTACCATAAAAAGACTACAAACTGTATGAGGGGCTTGTTAGCTGACGTTAGCATTCCGGGTTAGCCTGTTTGTAAACAGAGAGGCTGAAGCTAACAGGAGGTGAAATAGATTCATGTAAACATCAGAAACAACATGTCCGCTCTCTTATCGTACCTGTAGTTTCACCGTGACCGTCCCACGGAAAGTTTAACGGACTCAAATCTGACGTTTGATGTTTGACGACTCGGAGCTGAACCAGGGAAGTTATTGTTACGTCATCACCGAGCGACACAGCGCGCAGACTCAAACAGAGGCGGAGATTATATTATTAGTTTATTTGTTTAAATACTTTAAAAAGGTAAAATGAATGGATTTATTTATGTTGTAAAGCTAATTAATGAAGTTTATACTCTACATTTGTGCTCTGGCTTTGCATATATTAAACTCTAAACTCATAAAAATCAAGTTATTTATATCAAAGGCAAAAATAAATCCACATTTTAACAATCTATGAAATAAATATATAATTAACATGAATGCAGACCACCTGAGAGGAGCGGGACATACTGGTAGTGATTCATAATCTCATTATTAAAATGTTTTATTATTTTATTTATCGTGAGCTCTTTATCTTTTATTATTTAACTACTCATTTTATCACAGTTTTTAATGCTTTTATTCATATCTAACTCTTTATCTATACCTTTTTGTTGTTTTGTTTAAACTCCTTTTATTATTTTAACAGTTTATATTTTATTTCTGTTGGTGGGCATTAGTCTCAACTCTGAAATCCATTTTTGTTTGTAGACTACGATGTTCCTCTCTTTTTATTCTTCAGTTGCTATAAAGAACTTTGAATTTAATTTAATTTGTATGAAAGGAGCTTTATAAATCAAGCTGGATTAATTGATAACATTTCTTATTTTATGTAAAGTTTAATTAACCAGGAAAATCAAGAATCTCTTTTGGAAGAGTGTCCTAACCGTGATGGACATTTAATAAAAGTTAGAGACATTTAAAAGCCGGGGGGGGGTCGACACATCCTGCAGAGTCACAGAGCAGAAAGTCATCAGTCAAAGCGTCTACAACCTGACGCATCGTCCTCCCAACGCCTTCAATCTAAAAAAAAAAGATTCAAATAGAGCAGCTCCTCAGATACAGATCCTTCATGATGACAATAACTAATCACACCGATTTGGTTTTTTGAACCAGGCTGTAAACATGACTACTGTAATCACAGGCTTTTTAGAATGGGTGTGTATGTGACTTCCTGTGCTTCAGAAGCCAGCCTCTAGTGGACACTTGAGGAACTGCAGGATTTTACACTTGAGCTTCGGCTTCTGGAGTTTGCAGCTTGATTCGAGCCCACGGCTGCAGCGATGAGGACTATACTTCAGCGTTTTCTAAAAAAAACCCTCGTTGAGATTAAGAATCTGTTCTGCAACAGCATCCTGGCTAAGACGGGCAGCAGGTGGGCTCTTCACACAGCAGCCTCTACCATCAGTGTGTGAGTGTGTAGGTGTGACCTGTGGTGTAAAAGCGCTTTAAGTTGTCAAAAGACTAGAAAAGAACTGAAGCTCAAGTCTGTTTACCGTTAAAATAACAGAGAGCGTATCATTTTGAAGACGTGTTACTCCAAAGGTTGGAAGTGTTGAGCATTTTGACAACCTCATGTTCTCTGAGTCTCTGTGTTGTTATGGTTCGCTCGTCAGAGAGGCTAAAGAAACAAGCTGCGTGCCACATGTTGTTCAGAGGGAAATGAAGGGATTACAACGAGAGCATGATTTGAGTTCTGCAAACAGAGTCTCTCTCCAAGAATAATTGCTGTAAGAGGCTAACCCCGGCATTAAAGCACTTTCTATTAAGGAAAAACACGACACACACTAAGGCCCGAATCACCTGTGTTTCTACAGGGATTTACTGTGGGTGTGTGTGTGGGTGTGTGTGTGGGTGTGTGTGTGCGTGTGTGTGCGTGTGTGGTAGTCCAGTGCTGCATGCATGACTCAAGTTCACATAAACTAACCTGCAGCCCTCCCAGGTGGCCTGTAAGTGTGTGATCACACGAGTGCAGGACTGTGGGAAATATAAAGTTTCAGTCAGATTGTCTCCGAGTCAGATTCTGATGAGGACGACCAAAATTACCTAAATTTACTGAATGCTAAATTCCCCCTTTTTTTTAAACTGTGACGTCCAATCACAGCTCACGTTTGTTACGTGTGTCTGTCAGTGTTTCGATTTCTCCTCATGTTGAACCACGACGCTGACGTTAAACTGAAGACTAATTTTTAATTTTTAATTTTTAATTTTTAATTTTTAAATTTAAATTTAAATTTTTTATTTTTTATTTTTTATTTTTTATTGAAATTTTTTATTTTCCATTTTTTAATTTCTTTGAATTTCCTTCGGGATCAATAAAGTATCTATCTATCTATCTATCTAAATAGTAGAAACAAGGTGGTAATAAAGTATAAACTTGAGATATGATCACTTTGTCGTGTAGAGGAGGACGCCCGGACTGTGGCGAGGAACTTCTGCTCGCGTTATTAAACTTCTTCATGTATTTTAGTTTTATTAACAATTATTCATTTTGTTGTTCATTCATTTCATTCAATGTCTTTCTTTGCAAAGGTCTTACAGTCCGTGTAATGCCCAGGTCTGACTACACAATCTTTTGCTCTGTTACCATGGTAACTGTGTCAGATTCGACGATCTGCTTCCTGTTGGACAGGCAGGTGACAAACACCGGTGGTTAGCTTGTGCTAGCGTGCATTAGCTTGCAGTGTAGCTACAAGCAGTAAGCGTTACACACTAAGTCCTGCAGGGGGGCGGGGCTTCTGGGGAGCGATGAGCCCAGGAGGAGGAGGGGCCCAGATTGAAGGTTGTTGTTTTTTTTTTTTTTAAGATTTATTTTTGGGCTTTTGTGACTTTATTGTAGAGATAGGCCAGTGGATAGAGCTGGAAATCAGAGAGAGAGAGAGAGAGAGAGAGAGAGAGAGAGAGAGAGAGAGAGAGAGAGAGAGAGAGACAGAGAGAGAGAGAGAGACAGACAGAGAGAGAGAGAGAGCGGAATGACATGCGGGAAAGAAGCCACAGGTTGGATTGGAACCTGGGCCGCCCGCTTGGAAGACCAAAGCCTCCATAAATGGGACACGCGCACTAACCACTGAGCCACCAGCGCCCCATGAAAGTTGTTTTTGACTTCACCTTTAACCAGGAGAGCATAGCGTCCAGTTTACAGCAACTCTCTGTATATATGTGTCGCTCACATGTTCACAGAGTCTGACTGCTGCACAGTTGTTTTTAAACCATGGGAACAGGTTTCTTGTTCCCGTCGTCGTGTTGTTTTCTCGTCTCGTGCAGATCACTTTGAATCGCCTCTTTGCTTTAAATACAAAGAGGGAGGTTAGTGTTGTGTCTGTATTTAATTAGCAGCACTGATACAGTCAGTTGAGGAGCCTCCTCCTCCTCCGTCCTGCCTACAGGCCTTCATAATCCAGACCCAATCAGTTCATCAAACCGGCTTCCAGACGTCTCTGTAAACACATCTGTGTCTTTTTTTTCTGATTGTTGTTGTTAGCCCGTTCACGTTATTACTGTCCAACATGTTCAGACCTCACTGGCTGCAGGATCTTTATGAGAATGCAGAGCTTTTAGACAGACTTTTCATGTAACTATAAATCTAACTGTACGCTACACGTCAGTGAAACAATGCTCTTTTGTCTGAGCAGAAATGTAGAGTGGTGTGCGGTCGATCCGACAGCTTTTCTATTCCTGTAAGACTTCTTGATTTTGGCTGCGTGATTCTAGTGTTTCTCAAGAGCTTCACTTAAACAGCTTCTGTGGTTAAAATTTAAACGAGGCTCCCTGTGGGATGTTGGCGAACATGTTGGCTTCTGATTCTCCCAAACGGAGACGATCCCTGAAAAGAGCGTGCACAGAGTCCGAGCTGCAGAACGGAGACTTTTACCCCCCCGAGGGACCGGCGATAGAAAAGGTCAACAAAGCTGCGGTCATTTATTTGGATTGGCACATGGACGGTGGGATTCTGGTGCCTGCTGGTGGATGAGAACCAGAGGAGAAGATCAGGGCTGAGAGGCTTTAAAGGGTCATTCTGCTTTAATTTAGATGTTGTCCTTTTATATCACATATGACCTCATCATGTTGCACCCTGACCTTAGAGCCACGTTAAAGGCACAGTTTGGTGTTCATGAAGTGGGGGGGGGGTATGAGGTAGTAAGTGGAATAGCCACACGAGGTGTCGGTCAGCTCGGCCTCTTTAAGAAGAAAGAGATCAGAGGCTCAGCTCTACATCGCTGCAGACAGGGACATCAGGAAAACTAAAAAAGATGGAGCATAAAGCAGCTCCATCTAGCGACAAATGAGGTTTCCATTACGCTGACATGCAGAAGTTCGGTTTGGGGGCGTTTAGGTCGAGATGATTAACCTGAGAAGTTGCTCTGAAGACATTAGAAAAATGAAGCAGAAACTCTCCCTCAGCTGTTACTCTTCCTCAGTTTAAGACAGTCTATAAACGTCTGCAGTGAGGGCCATTAGGACCGGAGCAGAGAGGAGGTAGAGAAGAGGGGCCAGACCGGGGTCTTCAGGGTCTTCAGGTTCTCAGACAGGATTTCATATATTTACCATTAAAGTCTTAATATGTGATTTTTCACCCTTAAATGAAGAAATCCAGTATCTCCTCTGAAAATAACTCTGTGAGTCATGACTGTCTACAATGGGTGTAACACCCGAGTCCCACTGTCTGTGATGTTTTCAGAGTTTTCAGAGTCCTATCTTCACTTTGTTTACATCGCCGGGACGGCCGGCTGACTCCTCCCCTCGTGTATAAAAGTTGTTTAATTGAGGGACTAGAGAAAAGAAGAATAACATACTGTACTCACTGCTTAACTGTGTTTCTAGATCACGCTCATTTCAGGTAAATTTACATGCAGTGTGAAGATACCAGCATAATAAAGATCACTAGCATTAGCATGCTAACACAACAATGCAGTGCGAGTTGTTTTGGTTTCATGCTGGAGCTCAAGGGCGACATCTGCTGGATCAAAACATCACATATAAAGACTTTAAAGGGACCTCGATGACTCCCAAGATGCACCGTCATCGATCATGTCCAAAACCAAACTCAGAGATCTTTTTGTCCGCCTGCACATGTAGCTTCAGTGTTTAGACTGTAAGAGACACAGCTGATGACTGACAGATCTAATCTCATGTTCATGCCTCTTTGGATGTTTGTGCACAAAGTAATAATCTCTGTCTGAGAACAGCTGATACT